AGGCTGCTTAGCGCTAAGCAATACACTTGAAATAGCTAAGCCAAGCTTACCTCTGTGTCAAAACTCCATGCCCAGGGACACCAACTGTACGTTAGGTCGAGGTAGGGACTTGTCGATTAACTAATGAGCCCAACTGGTGGAGTAAATCCCGTGTTAGCCTGACGCATTTGGCTATTACCCCTTGCTCGGGTTGTTGGTAACCGGAAGTCTGGGTACGGATTGAGGTGTACCGACATCTGGTGAAGCAGCAGCACTACCTGTTTCATCACTCTGGTGAACATGTAGGGCGCTGTGCCTAACCTGAATGGGGGGCACCTGAAATTCGAATACTTGGCCCAGCTGGGCGATTCAAAGGAGATGGCAACTCACTGGGTGCATCGGTACGTGCAGGTAGGCCCTTAGTCCAGTTTACTATGTTTTTTCGTTCAAAATTTTTGGAGATTAGCAAAACTATATATCTTTTGAATCTCCAGAACATGGAGAATCTGAAAATTGATGTTGGCATTTTCACAGACACCTGCTTGGCCGCCATCTTGGATTTTCAATATGGCCGCCATAAAATACATAATTTATGCTATCTCTGCTTCTAGTCAACCGAGAAACATGATTAAATATACCAATATTATGTTTTCTGGGTCAGGAAAACAACTGGTAACATCATTAGACTTTAAATCCTAACACTTGGTTCATTTTAGGGATGTATATACACAATCATACAAAAAGCGTTCCGCTCGATCACATTTTCCAACTTGTAAACTCTTCAAGTAATATACTTATTCCATATTTCCAGAGACATGGATTTCATTTGTAGTATACCTAAACTCCCAATTGTTCTAACACTTTATTCATTTACAGGAAAGCTTGGCAGTAGTTCTGTTCATCTGAATAAAACTGGATTATGGGTATGATGATGATGATGATGAATGAATACTTATTCCATATGTGTGGTATTGCTAAACAATTTATTGTTCTAATCATTTTCAGTAAATTGTGGAAGTTATATTTATTTGACTAAAACTGGATATTGTTTTTTTTTACTTTCAGGACATGAAAATGGATGAAAGCCTTGATAATCACAATTCCAATG